CTTGGAAGCTCCCCCTGAATGAGGGCCTCCCTTTCCTTGGTAATTTTTCACCTTGTCACCATCCTTTTTAGATCCATTGCCAGTATACCGCTGAAAAGTGCCTCTGCTTTTGCTGGTGTAGAGCGCTTCCTCTTCACCCTTCAACGAGACTCCTCCCATTTGCTTGGCCATGGCTTCTTGACCTGCAAGCAAATTTCCGAACTCAACAAGCGATGGTTGTGTCGGCCATCCCTGTACAGCGGCAACAAACCCTCGATATTCGGGTCTCAAACCATGGACAATTATTCTTTTTATCCTGGCTTCCCCAATAGCAGCTGTCAGATCTAATTCTAAAATTTCACGGTATATCGACTTCACCTTGTGAAAGTATTGGGCAACCGCCATGTCGCGTTGCGCCATTGATAGAAGTTCATTCTCGAGAAGTTGCAATTTTGTATCGTTCCTCTTCGAAAAGAGTGTAACAAAAGTGGCCCATGCTTCCTTTGGTGTTTTAGCATCCCGGATGTGCTCCAACATTTCTTCTTCAATTGTGGTCTTTAAAGCAAACATTGCTTTGCCTGCTTTAATTTTCCACTTTCGCAAGATTCCATTGGCATCTTCTGTCGCCGGTTGTGTAACTTCACCACCACCGACAACCTCCCAAAGGTCTTGACCTTGTAAGTATGACTCCATACATGTTGCCCACGTGTTGTAGTTTTTGTTGTTGAGCTTCTTGATTCCTCCAACTACTTGAAGATCACCCATCTTAACGGCAAGGCTTTGACTACACCGAACAAGCTTGAGTAACAAACGTGCAGAGTACTAAATTACTCTAAACACAAAGAAGCTCCACAAGGTTTGTAATAACCTCGACAATAACTCAAGAAATATTTTCTGATGTGGAAGATCAGTTAAAAACTGCAGCCACAGAGCATACTCAGAATTTCAAGAGATCTTAAAAAACGTGGCTCGGATACCAATTGTTGAATCAAAATAGAGTAAAAACTCTAATTGATCAAAAAAAAACTCTCTTTAGAATAATCTCACAAAATTGCAAAAGGGAAGAACTCTTAAGAAAGCTTTCAAATGCTTATAATTAAGCTTTGATTGTTGGATGATAAAACTCAAATACAAGTAGGGTATTTATAGGTTACAAGAAACAATCTAAACCACTCATTAAAATAAACACTAAATAATCTAAAACCATTGAAATTAAAACATGAGAAAAATACTTAATTTTCACCTAACTAAATTGATGTAAGCAATGACATCAAAACTAAATTGATGTAAGCAATGACATCAAATTAATTTAGGTGTGAACATATAGGCTAATATTGAATTTCCAACAATAAAGGTCACACGTCATGGCTCATCTGTTTTAGAATATGTTGCACGAGAGTTCAAGTTTGAAAGAAGCCAAGACTCAAGCGAATTGTCAAAAGAAGATAAACCAAAGCTTTCCACTGTTTTCGAGCTGTGGGGCAATCTCTAACAATGTGGAGAAGAGTTTCGGACGGATGATTGCATGTCGGACAATTTGGATCAGACACGATACGCCTAGTACAACGGACCTGATTTATAAGCAATTTATCCTGAAGTGCAAGTCAAAGAAAGCCGCGAATACGTTCCGACACATTTTCTAAATGGGATTCCATTTGATGCTTTTATCTGCCCACTTCATTTTATCGACGACAGTAAATACACTAGAACGGAGAAGGGACACATCATAACTTCCTTCCAGTAAAGGAGATCGTGACCAGTACTTGAAGAAGGAGATGGATATTCTGAATATGTGAAAACACTGATGGAGCTGTCAATTCCAAGTACCATCGCAACTAATAATAGCACTCACTTTAAGATCATCATCTATTGAAAATGGATCAGTAGCATAGTTACATAGTAAACTCAGATTTGCACCCACAAATTCTGCCAACCACTACCAACAGATCACGCAAGTTTGATGTGGAAAAAAGGCCAAATGCCAGCTATCGAGCGTGAAATGAAAACAGAACAACGTTGAGTCTATTTGTATTTTTCACGGAAAAGTCAAAAATGCTTCTGGAGACTAAATGAGAACATCGCAAATTTTGAAAGCGTTGATAATTATTAGTGATTTTACAAAAATTGTAAACAATTATTAACTTTGTTTATTTAAAAAATTAAAATGAAAGAAAAAAATATAAATTACAAAAATAATGTCTAAATGAACATTATTTATGTAAAATTTATCCTAACATCTTAATGATTATTATTATTTTTCTTTGATTTTAATTCTTAAGAATATAGTAATTTTAATTTTAAAATTAAGATAATAATTATAATTTTGATAAAATTAACGACAACCAACAATGATTTTCAAAATCAATTGCTCAAACATGAATCGTCATACGATAATCTTTTTTACAATGTTATTGCTCTCTAAGAATAATTTTATGATTATTACTATTTGTTTTATTAACCTATTCCTTAATTAATTTGTTCAACACGACTAACTAATTTTTCCCTAAAAAAAGCCTTCTATTAAAATATCAATTGTAAATAATAAGTAATAATGTCAATATGGTTCTACACTGATAGCAGACGTTGAGACTTTGGACTTTAAGTATTCATATTCGAGTTTCGTACAATTTTTTTTAAAAATATATTAAAATGTTTATTACAGAACTTAAATCTAATTATCAAAAAAATCCAAATGCAATATTATAAGGAAATATCACATATAAATGATGGCAAGTATATTACAGAAATATTTTGAGGCAGAAACATAACATTTGTTCTACTAATTGTTCATGAATGAAAATTTGGCATACCCTAAAAAAGAATACATATTTAAAATATCAACATTTCCACCAGGAAAGAATAGCAAGAGGCTTCAAATAGACTGAAAATGTCCAGAAGATATTCTGTGACCGACAATGAATGGAAAAATTAAATAATTCATTGAACCTCCCCTACAAACGAGAGAAAACAATAAAGTTTAAGGGTAAGAAGAGGAGGGCCATTCTTTTGTGATAGGATGCTTAGGTTGATGTTAGAGGGTCAAAGGTGATTAGTTTTTGAGTCTTTATATATTAGTTCAGTTAGATATTAAGTGTCGGTTGGACTTGTTGGTTATTCTGTTAGGTTTGTTAATAGTCGGTTATGGTTATGGGTTATACAAACCCAACAATTGCAATTGTGCTTATACGAGTTGATTGTAATTTTGATTACAATTTTGTAATTGGTTATTATCCATATAGGTCTCGAGTGTATATTGTTTGTAACGGTGTTGGATTGTTTATTGTCAAATGATTTAGAGTCTTTCGAAAAATATATTATCTTTTAATCATCTTGCTTTTAATCATCTCGATTAATAAAAAAAATCTTCCTTTTCCTCTTAAGTTTGTTGGTTTGAACAAACACACAGTTGTCGATCGTCACTTCTTCACACATTCTGGTCATCACCCATTCTTCACTTGTGGCTATCGGTGGCTCCTTTCTCACCTATAACACCCATCCATCTATCATTCGACCCGAGTCGAGTTTAAAGAAGCTCTCATCGACCTATTTTTAGGGTAAAACTCATATCCGCACTTGATTTGACTTGATATATATAATTATCATTTTTATTAGGTAAATGATGAACCTAGTTGAAAAATTATATTCCCTCCGTCCCACTAAATGTGTCAAAGTAAAAAAAAATTGACTAAAAAAAGGTCGACAATGAACATATTTAATGAGATAGATGGAGTATATAAGAAGAAAGGTATTAGAGAAATTAACTCTAAATATATAAAGGAAAATTATATTATTATTCTTAAGTCAGATCAAGTATTTTTATCCCGAACCCAATCTCATTTATCAAAAAAGAAAAGAAAAAAGCATAGCATGAATCTAAATTTTCACAGCAATAGAAAAATATGACCCATAGAGTCGAGTCAAATCATAACCTGTTATGTTAAGGTCAAATGCAAATCTCTAACTCCAACCCTTCAAACGCTTTTTTAACCAATTAAGAGGTGATATGTATCTTCACACTAATGGAATTAAATAAAGGTGATCAAAATGAAAATAAAAATAAAAATAAAAACAAACTTTGATAATTTGTTCTTAATTTTTCGGTAACCAAAGTGATTTTTTTTATAACAGAGTGATTATATGTATAATTTTCTCGTACTTCAAAAATGAAGGTAATAGATGTCAGGGTAAATTACATAAATGGTCCTTTGATTATAAGACTTTATTTTGTTGAGTTATCTTAGTATTAAAAGTTACAAGTAACCCCTTGAATATATGATGTTACTTTGTTGAGTCTCTTGACTATTAAAGTTATAAAATGATCATCCGACTATTCATTATGATCGCAACTCGTCTTTTTTCGTTTTGAACTCGGTTAAACTTTTTTTATACAATTGGAGTAAATACAAGGTAATAATTGTTCAAATATTCTTAATTTTTTGATAATAAACGTTTATACTCCTGATATGTGCTTGACCTTGAGACTTTAAAAGATAATAACGAGTCCCTTAAGGTGTTGTGGTTGGTGGGAACTCAGTTAAACTTGGTCACTGCAAATTGGCTACAAAGTAGTGCATTGGCATGTGATTGAACAACTAATCGTCTCTGCTAAGAAGTATAAAATAAGAAACAGTTCCCAATGAAACAAATGTTTCTTAGTTTTTATTTTATTTTTAAGTTAATAAAAAATAGAAAAAAGGTGAGGAATCTAAGTCCTCAACAAGGTCAGTCTGCATATGGTGATAATCATGTTAAAGTGGATGATAAAGGTCGTCAAAGATTTGGGCACCATTAACCAAGTATATTTATTCTTGACTAATACTAAAACTGAAAACAAAGATAATAAATTAATGACATAATTTTAACCTCTAATCAATATCAAAATACACAATTGATTGAATTAAAATTAATAATTCAACCAGTTCAATCAAAAATATAATTTTGATAAAAAAAACTCAAAAAAATATAATTTCAAATTTAACTTATGTGATAATAAGTATTATAGTTATTTTTTAAATAGTGGGTGACCAAAATAAAATTAAAATATAATTTTAGAAAAATAATTGAATGATTAAAGTAATATTATAAAAATAATTAAATGATTAAATATATAATTTATTCAAAAATTATGACTTCTCTGATTTCGAACTCATCATATATGTAGTTAGGGGTCTTCAAAAATGCTTGACTCGAACTATTCAACCCGTCGACCGGGAAAAATTGCTGGGTATTTTAGAGGTAAATACCCAATTTTTCAGTTCGGGTACCTGGTCCATTATTTTTGGCAGGTTTTTGGGTCGGGTTGGGTAACAATATTAACCTTAACCAGTACCCACCGACCCGCTAATCCAATTATATTTTTTATTTTATTACTATTTTTATTTTAAATTAAAATTTTTATTTTTAATTTCAAAATTATTTTACCCTAACAATCTAAATCTCTAAAAAATTTGATTATTTCACCTTAACATTTAAATTATTTTTCTAATCTTAAATTATTTTAAATTTAGTTGTAATTCATAATTTTATTTTATTTTTTGTATTTTCAAATTTTAAATTTAGATTATATAATTTGAATTTATAAATTTTATGTTTATGTTATGTATTATAAATTATAAGTTTTTATATAGATTTTCTAAAAATTTAATAAAAATTAATAAAATAAAATAAATATTAACCGAATATTCATGACCCAAAAATATGGGTATCCGAATTTTACCAGCACCCGTCTTTTATGAGATAGGCCATGACCCAAATTTTTATGACGTGAATGTCCCGCGTACCCGATATTTCGGGTACCTAAAATTGCTGAGTAATTGGATTTGAACACTTCTACGGGTAGTACATCATATTCAAAATTATTTAATCTAAATTTTAAAAAGGAAAAGTAAATAAAATGGCCAAAGTGGTAGCTGTTGGCCAAATTCTTAAGGTCCTCTCTATACACTACACATAAAAATAAAAAAGTGGGATAGGTATAGATCTCACCCTCTTAGCCATAATTGGCACCCAAAAAAACAGTTAGTACGGCGGCATTTAATGCTGTCACGTGCACTTTGGATATGGGTATCTAACCTAGCTAATCTAGATGACAATTTTGGTTTTGGTCACAAGAAAATTAGCTCGACGACAAATAACTATCTGAAGGAGAACAGGATTGTTGAGGGTTTGAATACGAGTTTAACGCTAATCTAAATTCGATTTTAGCGTAAATCAATTATCATATACGAAAAACATTTCAAACCAGAAAAAATATAAACAAAAAAGTTCGACGATAAATTATACCAGGATTATACATGAGTATTTTAAACTCTAAATGCATATATATATATATATATATATAGTCGTACAAACAAAATAATCTTAGCTGAATAAAATCGATCTTTTCTGTTTATCTCTTCACTTAGTGAGTTATAATGTGATATTTTCATATCGAATCAAACGAAATCAAAATCATTAATTTTAATATAGAGAGAAAAAAATCAGTTAAACGATGATATCACGTAATTATGAAACTTTAAATTGACAATTTCACATCTAATCTCGTATTCAAATTCTGGACAACTATCCCTCTCCTACAGTATGCCATACAGCTCGAAGAAAACCCTAAAGGCCAAACAATGAGACGCTCATTTTTAATATCTTTTCTGAGCTTGAAACTGATGGCACACCATGCTGCAAATTATTCTCTCTGTGGAGCATTAATTCGGCAACAAATTGTTTAGGTGGTCCATCTATTCTTAGGCTTTATTTAATTCCTCTTCTGGACAATCCAAAGCAACTATCCACATGGAATTGGACTGACCTTGCCTGTGGTATGCAACGACTGTTTTACTATATCAACTAATCAAATTAAGGATGCCTATAAGATTTTAAATCAATGAATTTTGATCCGATTTAATTTTATATAATAGGTTTTAAACATTTTAGTTTGGACCAAGTTAAGTTTTTTTAAGGATAAGATCCAGATTGAGTTTAGGATGATTTTTTTATTCAACTTAATCAAAGGAAAAAATATAATTATCTCTTATATATTTAAAAGTTTTTACAATAAAACCCCTACTCTATATTTTTCCATTTAAATCGTTAATTTACCTAATATATATGTGTGTCGAATCGAGTCGAGTGGAATATCTATCCTAAAAATCTAATTGGGTAGAGCTTCTTAAACTCGTGTTGGGTCGAGTGACGAGTGAAGGGGTAAATATTCGAGTCGAATCTGAGTCGGTTAAAACCTAATCCAATCGACTCATACTCTTCCCAGGTCAAACTATGGTTCAGTTAAAAAAAAGCCATATCTATATTTAAAAAAACATATCTAAATTATGTATACAATAATAAATCTACCATCTACTACAAAGGACATCAAGTCATATATAAATACAATTATGCCCCCAAGAAATCATCTAATTATTTCTTAGGTTCCTGTTAATTTCATAATCATGTAAATCAAATCTCACTCTTCATTTCTTTTCATTTAAATACTTCTTCGGTTGTTGATAACATTGAAATAGATTAAACTTGAACCACGTTACTTTGATTTATATATGGTTTAGGTCCTTCCAATTCTGGAATTAAACAAATTAGACCCCAATCCCTCAAATTTTAAATTGATAACTTAATAATTAAATTTTGACCCTCATGTTAGGCCTGTAAACGAACCGAACATTCAGCGATCCATTCGGCGGGAAATTCGTTTATGTTTGTTTATTTATTAAACGAACAAACATGAACAGTATTTTGTGTTCGTTTAATTAAATGAACGAACATGAACAGAGGGCCCGTTCGTTCATTTACGTTTGTGAACGTTCGGTAATATGTTCGTTTATGTTCGTTCATTTATGTTCGTTAATGTGCGTTCATTTATGTTTAGCTCAATCTCTCTAGACTCATTTAAAATATTAAAGCCCAATAAATTTTAATTTGTTACCTATAAATATTTTAAAATTCAATTAATTTTAAATACAAATAAAGAAATCTCAAAACAATTAAATAAAATATAATCTTAAAATTGTTAGGAAAGAAAAAATATATTTTCATTTATATTTGTTTACATTCATTTATGTTTATTTATTGTGTTTGTTTACGTTCGTTCATTTGTGTTCGTTTACGCTCGTTTATTGTGTTCGTTTATGTTCGTTTACATCCGTTCGTTTATGTTCGTTCATTTGTGTTCGCTTATCATTTAAATGAACGAACACGAACATGCTACATTTCTTAACGAACGAACACGAACAAGAAATTTTTTGTTCGTTTATGTTTGTGTTCGTTCATTTGTTCGGTTAAAGTTAAATGAACGAACATGAACATACCCTCGTTCGTGTTCGTTCAATTCGTTTACATGCCTACTTAGGGTGCATTTGGTTCATAGAATGTATTATTGTCTCCAAGAATAAAGATTATCGGAATGTAACATTACCTGAAACATTACTAGGAATATTGCATTATTGTGTTTGGTTTATTTAATAGGAATGTAAGATTATAATATTTGATTAAATGAATAAAAAATTAATGGAATGTATATTTTATCAAATTGCCCTTGTTATACATTTTTTTTCAACAAGTTGAATTTTAAATATTCAAATGAAAATATTTGTATAAAAGATCATAGAAAATATATAATTTTATTATTTTTAATTTATATATTTTCTATATAAAATTTAAATTCATAAAGTTTATATAATTTTTTACAAAATTTAAAAGATAAATGGGTTTAATGAAAGGGTTTAATTTTATTTTAACCCCAAAACTTCATACAAATTTATAATTGTGGACTTCTTTGTAAATCTAAAACAAATTAAGGATAAATTTGCAATATACCCTTCATAGAATTTTTTTATTCAACGGTTAGGAGAATGATATTTTTGAAAAAATATTGTTTTAAGGGTATTTTAGTTCAAACTCATGGGAAAAGATTAATACTTAAGGGATTGGGGGAATAACATTTCTGATAATAAGCCCCCAAAATGCCACTATTGAGAATGACTTATTACCCCCTATTGGGAATCTTTGCAATCCAAACATGGGTATCACATTATGGAAAAACCTTTTCTCCCATCCAAATGCACTCTTAGTTTACTATGGTATATTTTGTAACATCCATAGCATATATGCATATCTAAATATGAGTTAAAGACGTCATATCAACTTTACAAACCTTCACTAAACATAAATGCTTAAAATTTTGTTTCGTTTTAAAACATTCCTATTCCAACTTTAAAACTATTCCCCTTAATCTTAATAAAAAATAAAATAATATTTAATCATTAAAAATAGATTTGTTTCCAAGCAGAAATTAAGCAGTTTGATATTGTTTTCTAACTTATATAAAAACTGCCTAATCACCATTTCGTTTAAAAACCATTTTATAATATAATCATATATTTATTTAAACTATTCATTCACAAATACATATATGACTAGTCTGGTCAAAATAAAATGGTCCTAGTTACTATTACATACCATTTAACTTAATTCCAAATAAACTACTAATAACATAAATATAAATGTTACTACTAGTCAAATGTAACATCATAGATGTCTTATTGGTATTGATAATATAGACGATCTCCAAAAAGATGTTCAAGAGGCTCCTCACTGCATGTCCTAATCCTTATTTGAACCTACGCATGAAATTCATCACACACTAAGTAAAACTTAGTGAGGCAGTAATAACTTAAGGCAAGATTAAAATATACATAAATGTCATGAATTCATTAAAATATTCAAAATAATTAAGATAAAATTTTAAAACATTCAAACCAATTAGCTCAAGCCATTTTTTCATCAAAACCTAAAAAGAATCAACTTATAATTTTCTCAAAAATCATAATAATCAATAACAGACAGTGTAATCATTTAACATTTCTTTTCATTCAGACACGTTTCAGAAATCATATTCCATTATCGTAGCCCAAAGTAGTTTAAGATAATGCAAGTTACGCGAGTCAGATGAGTGTGCGCATTTAGCACTTCAATGTTATTATTAGAATCAGACTTTGCACTCCAAGTGCAATTATATCATTCGTATCAAAGGTGCTAAACATAATATATATACAAATGTACCAAATCATAATCATAATCACTCTACCTCATGACATGCCAATTGTACCAATGACTTTCAATGCATCATACAATGGACTTTAGATCGTATCATAATCATTTAATAACCAACATTTCAGAAACCATAATCATTTTTATTTCACTCTCGTAAAACTCAAAATTTGGGTAATTTATACCCTAAATCATTCATAAAAATTTATAAAAGATATTATGAAAATAATCCATAAATAACACATAAAACATACTTTTTAAATAATATGAGGTTGACTTATCACAAGTCTTCATCAGTCAGAATAATTAAATAAATAAATTGCACTCATATTTGTCTCACTACCGAACCTTTTATACGATACTCCTAATCACATACTTGGTCCTTCCCTTTCGGGTCGTTCAGATTGCTAGATCTATCGTGATATGGCAATATCACATAAGAACACAAAAGATTCGAACTACATGTTAGTATCGTACTAACATAAGCTAACTTTAATATTATAAAAGTTTATAAAAATAAATTCGATACTTAATCGATATCAAACAAAACTATATCTCTAATATAATTTCAAACTTTTCAAAATACTCATTCAAATCCATAAATTTTTATTTTCATTCTTAACCCTTCATCTTTTGTCAATTACACAATCAAGCCCCTAATTGTGAATTATTTTTAGAATTCACCCCATATTTTCTATTAAATTCATAATGATCCTTCATCATTATGATCATTGCACATTAATTACTAAATTTCCAGAACTTTAACAAAATACTCAAATCAATACCTCAACATTCAAAATATTACAATTTCAACCTAAACTTTCTTAAACTTTCGATTCCAACCACCTAACCTTATAAACTTGTAATTTGCTCCCAACACAATAATTAAACTAAAAAAATCAGCTTATCAATAATATTTCAAACATTAAAATTTCATGTTCAGAACAATATCAGCACCTTTGCAAAATCATAAACAAGTCCCAAAAGTTTTGAGACCTTTCGAATTCCACCATTACAATTTAATAGAATTGTAATTTGGTTCCAAATAATTTTCCAACTTAAAATTCCAGCATATGCTTACTAAAAATCAACATTAAGTGCCTCAAATTGCACATTTATACATTTAAGTCTCACAATTCTCATAACTTGCAAACTTACCATTTTTCTAGTTCAAGCTTCCAAATTGATCTCCAACTCGCATAGAACTCTTCTAACATCATTTATAGACCATATGAAATTTTTCAACATTTTCCCCCTAATTGCTTCCCTATGGCCGAACCTCACTATATACATGGAACAAACTTTTCCTTAAATTTCAAGCTTGAATTCATCTTCCTTACATCAAATTCATGAATTTTTAATCATCACAACAACCAATTAAATCAAAATCCATCAATTCTCCATAAACCCTAAATTGACCTAATTTAATATAAACATCTACACATGATTTTAATCATCATTCTTGCCTTAGAATTAATCTCCAACACCTAAAGCATAACAATCTTTCATTAAAACTTCAAAACCCATAAACCCTACTCACCAAATCTCAACATCCAAGCATGCTTAGCATGAATTTCTTATACCAAATGATAGAGAATTTGATTCAAAACTTGATCCAAAATCCTACTAAAATAGATCAAAAAATGAAAAAGAAATTTTTTTCTCACCTTGTAGGGGTTCACGGCGTCAAGCTGATGGGGAAGATGAAGTCTTGATTTTTCTAGTAATTTTCCTATTACACACATGGCATTTAAACTAATTTAATTGAATTTAAAATTCAGTTAATGAGAAATCCTCAAAATACCATTATGAAATTTGATATTTACCAATTTCCATTGCAATATTTTACATTAAAATATTCCTTGGTCAAAGATAAATCGATTTGGCTTTAACTTTATACTTTGGCCATATAATTTTTTAAAATTATATTTTAGTCACTAAAATTCCACTGTTCGGCCAAATCTGAAAAATTACACCAATATGTGCTAATTTTTTTCAAATCTAAAAATATGGAAATAACATTTCCAACCCTTATCCATCATCATACAAATTTTCATGAAATTCCAACTCGATTCGATTATTCGATTTTTATATCGAACTTGAACACTTTATAGTTTTTAACACAAATCTCGTACCGAAAATATGATTACTACGAAAATTCTCATTTTAGTCCAAACTGTTCACGGGATAAAATATATATAACTTTTAAAATTATATTTTTGGTCCCTAAACTTTTCAAAATTTATACTTTAGAAACTAAACTTTCAAAACTTACATTTGAGTCACTAACCAGAATTTGGGTATTACATATCTATCCCTAATATTTCATCCTTAGCTACGCTAGTAAAATAACAGTGGTTATATAAATTATGCAATTGAGACATCATTTTATTTTTTATTTCACTTCTTGCATATAAAATAATAGATAATTTGTTCGAGTAACTTCAGTGATTATAGGAATGACTATTATCCCTAAAAACTCCAGAGATCGTTTGGTTTGTGTTCGTTATTTAAATGTTACCTTCAAATGTCAATTAATCCTTATAATTTTTTGACAAAATTTAAGTCTTATAATTAAGCGGTTACATATGCATAAATTGTCATATATAAGAAACGAATAAGATATGAAACATTAATTATTTCCATTAAGAGAAAAGAAGTCATTTCTTACAACCATATCACACCACCATGCAGGAAAAAGAATTCAACAAATTAGTTACTTTTTGGTCCCCCTTTTATAAAACACACTTCACCATCAAAATCTTCTACTGGAAAATGGGGACCAAATAAAACCAAGTCAAAAATATTTTTTTTTAAATATATATTAATATATAAAAATACAAATGAAATTGCATGTTGAAACAAACCGTTTTTATAGGCACCAATCAATGTCCTGTCTTTAAGATATATGCGTCTATGAGTTCCTGTCCGGAACATACTGTTATTTACTCTTTTTCTCTCTATCTTTTAATAATTTTTTAATATAATCATCAATATTAGATTATAATCTTTCGCATTATTTAGATTTATAAAAATAATCATTTTAGATTATCATTTTATCCAAAAATTTTTATATTCGAAATTTATCATATACATATAGTTAATTTGTGTGATTTTTTACTCCACGTTGTATTATGGTTTAACTCCTATTATATAAAATGTATCCAAGTTTATTCTTGTTGATTATAATAATAATTATTCGAACATGATATATAACATCATTATTATATAAATAACATTTTATTCAAGTTTATCTAAAATGTTAATTATAAATAAAAACATAACAGTTGAACTCGACATGGCATAAATAATATTATCATGTGATATTATTATCAACTATTTTACTTACACCATTAGCCTTTCGAAATTAAACCCAGACAAAATGATATATTAAGTTATAAAATAGACTCCTGAATATTTATGTGTACAAGTTTGAAGAATGTTAGAGTTTGGAGGCTAAATTGTATATTAATCCAAAATAAAAGTAAAGGACTATATTTAAAAACTCCAAAGAATACATGAACCTATAGTGAAATTGAACCATTCTTCATCTCTTCCTCTTACCATTTTGTCTCGCAGCCTTTCATTTCTTTCATTTTTTTTATACGATTATCATTTTCTTCTAAAAGATAGAGCAAATGTATTGAGAAAACAAGTGAAGTGAGGTGGCAAACAAACAACGAGAGAGATCTACGAAGGTGTTTTAATGATGGGAACGGTTCATTTTTACTTTTTGGGATTTATCATATGAATGTAGTTCTTCTTTTGAGGGATTTAGCCTTCAGCTCCTTCGCCCCCCACCACCCCCCCCCAAAAAAAAATAAATCAAAAGCTTTGATTTTGAGGGATTTAAAACTTGAAACTAGCGTTCTTTGCATGTTTCAAACTCTGGGTTTTTTGCCTTCAATCTCATGCATTTGGTGTTAGAAACTGTTAGTTACAAAAGAACTCCTTTTCAAGCTTGAATTTATTTGTTTTCAAGTTTTGCATGCTTTCTGTTTGAAAAAAGATCCGTGAGAGCTTCAGGTATGGTGTGGTTTAGCTTCGAACACGTTTTAATTTCTGTTGAATAATTTAATGGGGGAATGCTTGTGATTTTGGTGCGTTTTGTATACTCATAACTATTTACAGATTTGGGTTTTGCTAGATTTAATGAGTTCGATATGTTTTCGAGATTTCGATTCCGAAAAATCGGAATCATAAATGCTTTTTTTGAATCATGACTAGAGCTGTTAGTAGAGATAGAGTACTAAAGGAGGAGGAGGATGGTGATATTAGTGATCATCTACGGAATCATATTCATTTGACTAATAGTATTCACTTGAAGAACCATATGCATAAGCTTAGCCCTTTAATGTCTGACCGATCTCTCGTGAGGGACCTTATGGTTCTTCAACGCTCCCGGTCACTCAGGGATCCTTCTGCTAGTCCTCCTTGTTGGCATTCGCCTTCGGTTGCTGATTTGCTTTCGAAGAAGGATGGTTTTCGGGAGGGGAGAAGGTCTGTCAGTGTCGAGAGGCCGAGGAATGGGAGGAGGCTTTCGACAAGTTCATCGGTTTTAGCTAATTTTCCGACTTCTAAAGTTGCTCCAGGCGGAGAAGGTAGTGTTAGTGACCGTACCAGTAAGAGTGGGGATAGAGATAGTAGAAGAATTAGGACTGCTATCTCGGGCGAAAATAATGAGCCTGCACCGGAGCAAGATGGTAAGTTCTTGTCTCCAGATGGGAGTAAAACCCCAAAGGGGAAGCAAACACAAGGGATTCGAACGAAGACTTTATCCGAGCAATTGAATGACCTATCCCTGGATAGTGATGATGTAGCATCTTCCAATGTCCAGGTTTGTGGAAGGCATGAGAAACATCCAGGTGAGGAACGTGAAGTCATTGTTCGTAGCTATTCAAGTGGGTTAAACAGGGTGAACAGACGCAAGTTTCAAAGGGCAAGAAGATCTCGTGCTGCTCCTCAAGAGGTTGGAGGTCGGAATGAGTTGTCTGTGGATTCTAATTCATTCGGTAAATGTTCGATGCATCCCAATTATGGTACTGAAGAGGAAGAAAACGTATATGATGTGCGAAATGTAACGAGGGCACCCAGAAATGGATGTGGGATCCCTTTAAATTGGTCGAGATTTCATCACAGGGGTAAAACTTTCCTTGACATTGCAGGAAGGAGTTTTTCCTGTGGTTTATCTGACTGTAGATTACGGAAACGTGGTGAAGGTTTCCATGGAAGAAATGCTCCGGAAATGCCTTTGGAATCTGATCAATCGAGCTCATCTGCGAAATTCAACACAGAGGCACTGCCTCTTCTAATCGAGGCATCTGGATCTCAGAACAGCACAGACAATGCTCGTTGGATGAATAACTATTCAGGAGAGTTAGGTATATTTGCCGATAATTTATTGAAGCGCAATGTTGATTCCGACCTTGTTTCTGACGATAGATACAGTGACCAAAGCAAGTTAGTTGGGAACCATCATTGTAGGCACCAAAGTATCACACAAAAGTACATTCCAAGAACTTTTAGAGACCTTGTCGGACAAAATTTGGTATCACAAGCCCTTTCGAATGCCGTTACAAAACAGAAGGTCGGATTGCTATATGCCTTCTATGGACCTCATGGAACAGGAAAATCTTCCTGTAGTTGGATATTTGCTCGAGCTTTGAATTGTCAGTCACTTAAACATCCCAAACCTTGCGGCTTTTGTGATTCTTGTATTTCAATTGACATGGGGAAGAATCGAAACATAAGGGAATTCGGACCTGTCGGTAACTTTGACTTCGATAGTATCATGGACCTTCTTGATAATATGAACATATCCCAACTGCCTTCACAGTACCGAGTTTTCATATTTGATGACTGTGATACTTTATCCCCGGATTGTTGGAGTGCCATATCAAAGGTCATTGATCGATCTCCGAGGCGTGTGGTCCTTATTCTTGTCTGTTCGAATCTTGATATTTTGCCTCATATAATCATATCGAGGTGCCAGAAATTCTTTTTCCCGAAACTGAAGGATGCAGATGTCATTTATACCCTGCAGTGGATCGCATCCAGAGAGAACATTGAAATCGAGAAAGATGCACTTAAACTAATCGCATCTCGATCTGACGGATCACTAAGGAATGCAGAGATGACACTTGAGCAGCTGAGTTTGTTCGGGCAAAAAATCTCCGTTCAGTTGGTTCAAGAACTGGTATGTTTTCGTAACCGAATTCGAATATCGCTATAATGATGCAAAATAACGAAAGTGAGCTAAGCATTTAAGATGATTAGCTGATATTTATATAACTGCTCTAAACTTTACGGATCTGATTCACAGGTTGGGCTTATCTCCGATGAAAAGCTCGTGGATCTTCTCGATCTAGCATTAACTGCAGACACAGTAACACCGTTAAGAGTTTGAGGCTGATAATGGAAACTGGTGTGGAGCCTTTAGCTTTGATGTCACAGCTTGCTACTGTGATAACCGATATTCTTGGTAGCAGTTACGAGTTCACTAAAGAAAGGCATCGAAGGAAGTTCTTCCGACGACAACCATGTGAGTTTTAAACGAGTAAATTTCTTATTATGTTTACATTTATATTAAGTAATTGCCTAAACCACCTGTTTCCTCTCGTGCTCCTGTAATAACTGTCTATCTGCTCCAGTGTTGAAAGAAGATACGGAGAAACTACGCCAAGCTTTGAAAACGTTATCTGAAGCGGAAAAACAGTTGAGGCTATCAAACGACAAACTAACATGGTTAACTGCCGCCTTGCTTCAGCTTGCTCCTAATCAGCAATATATTACCGATTTCTTCCGCTGACACTAGCTCTCTTCATAGTCCGTTGCCTCAAAGTGATGCGGGCGGAACGGATATTCCCCGCGAACGTGGTGAGCTTGTTTTGCATCATGATAACTCTAGAGGCTTGTCAATGAATGCTAGGTCGGAAAATCTCCATGCAGGAAGTCCAGGGGAATCCAAAGCTGATACCATGAATGGCAGGCAGAAATTAGTCAAAAACCGTAAGAGAATCGAAGAAATCTGGTTGGAGGTGCTCGAGAATATTGAAGTTAATCGTCTAAAAGAGTTTTTGTTTAAAGAAGGAAAGCTGATATCGGTCAGCTTCGGAGTAGGTATGTCCTAGTGCGCACTATTCTCGTTTTTGCATTATATCATAAGTCGGATGCAGCATACATTTAGACTAGAAATGGTATCGTTTTTTGAATATTTCTTTGTATTGGTATCATTTTATCTGCCAAACTTAGAAATGGTATGCTATTTTTACTCGAAATGGTATGCTAATTTTACTCGACATGGTCAATAATGATGTACTTTCTTTATGCTCGGTAACTATCGGAATCTCCTTGACCCTTTTGATTGACGTTTCTGTTTTTCCAGCCCCAACTGTACAGCTAATGTTCAGTTCACATATGACCAGATCTAAAGCCGATGTATTTAGGGGGCATATTTCACAGGCATTCGAGTCTGTTGTCGGTTCTCCCCTGACAATTGAAATTAGATGTGAAACGAACAAAGACGCCGCAGCTGGCTCCCGTGGACTTCTCGTTTTACCATCTTTCAGGGATGTTCCATCTCCGGTGGTCATGGATCCGGAGTCTAATTCTCGAAATAGGATGCACCAGGCTGGTTCCGATCATACTAACAAAAGAGTTATGGGAGATGGAGATTCTGGAGTGCATGCGAGATCTCCTGAAGCAGGAAGGGGCAAAATTGTCGAAATAGCACCTCCCCCGAGACAAGCCAATGACACTGAACACGATGATGAGGTAAAATCTAATAGAAGAGGATCAAAGGTGGCTGACGCTGCAGCTTATCGGAAACCACCATTGGCATCCACCTCAGAGAGACAAAAATCCGGGGAACTAATTCCGAGTCAGAGCATTGTTAGACCTCTTGCACAGGTAATTCATCACGGAGAAGGATCTACACAGCTGAATGGGCAGCCGGAGCCCAAAGTGGTTTCCATTGCCGAAAAGCTCGAACAAGAGAACCTGTATGTATATCTGTTGCCATTCATTGTCTACTATATTGTTGTTTCGTATTGTTGACAACCTTCCATCCAGGAACCTATGCAAATTCATATCTTTATATTTCAGGAGACTTGAACCAAGATCAAGAAGCTTGCTTTGCTTGAAAGCATCTCGAGTAACTCGTCGGAAGGTATCTTATATCTCATCTTCTTAAGTTCAAATTATTACGGTTGATATGAATTATCGATTTTTCCAATCTTCTTAACTTCGTATTACGGTCTTAACATCGCTCGGTTATCTTTACAGCTCTCCCGCTTGAAGATAGGAACACGAAGACCACATTCCTTACTGAAGCTCGTCTCTTGCGGACATTGTATTTCTTCTAGATCTCCTAGGTAAAACCCGAGAAAAATTTCGGATGATTTCAAACAGTTAGTGCTCGAGTTAACTGAATTAGTATTACATTTGTAATTAGCTATTTTTCTCATCAGTTACTAGCCGAATTTGATCCGTAAAATCATCTTTCGAATAAATGTTCGACTTCTTCGGAAGGAGAAAATGCAGGCAGGGAACTAATTGATATTGTAGCCATAGTTTTATTGAGATATCATGTTCATGCAATCATCAATCGTGTTATGCTGTTAGCACTTATCCACCCTCTTTTAGTAGGAGAGCCAGATTAGTGTTACTTTCTTCGTAATCGTGTGCCGGATTCGTGTTACTTTCTTTGTAATCGTGTCAGATTCGTTTTACTTTTCCATAATCGTGTGTCGGGTTCGTGTGAACTTTTTCATGTTATTTTGATATATAACATATTCATATATTGGTGTTATTTCGTAAATGCAAAATGGCAACAATCAAAAGGATCACTGTAATGAAGCCTAAAATGAAACAGGCATAAGAATAACTATAGCAGTATAGTACCTAAAACTATGGCCATACTATATATTTTCACATCAATCTATGATACCTATTTATAATGCATCTGAAATCCGGGCAACTGATACTTGTGCTCAACACATAAGAACATGAACACAAAAAAATCGTACTCGCCTCCTATAATCTAACCGAGTCCGAGTTAAACCTAGTCTGAAACATTGAGGCATGTCAGGTTCTCTCAGCTGGAGTAAGATGCCCCATCTGTTCTGTAAGGCTATTGACGTTCTTCATGTTCCACCAAAATCTGCCATGATCGGAATCATTTCTTTCGGACTGAACATCCCGAGTATCGGATGAACCCGGATGTTCGGTCAAAAATTGTTCCCAGAATACATCATTAACCCCAGCTGGTGCAGGTTGTTCGTTAGTTGTAAGAGGCTCAGAGGCAAGTGCAGTTGCAGGCTCGGAGTTCATGTCAATCGGAGATGATGTTACTGGAGCATCGATGTCAAGTTGCATGCAAGTTACAGATGGACTTTCCAGACAACTTGTTGATTCATCCAGGCTTGAACTAAGTTGGATGTTAATTCGACCGAAATCGTGCACAGCATTCTCCCAAAACACCATGGACGACTCTAACTGTTCAAGTGGATGCCCCATGTCGAACAATGATGAGCTATCTGGATTTTCTCTTGCTGTAAGGGAATTTCCTGTCAGATTGTCTTCAATCTCCGATTCATTGTATAAGTAAGCAATGCTCGGAAACCTTCTCTTTCTGTCATTAGCCTCGGATTGTGGAGTCGGATCGATGGGAAACCCTGGTTTCTGCAAGGCTCGAGCCACAGAAGACACCATTACATGCTGCCGCCGCTCCATAGTTCGCATGCGCTCCCTCAAAACCCGCATTTGCATCTCGAATCCTTGCCGCTCCTGCTCATGCCTCTTTAACTCTAGAACGAGCGAATTCTTTTCGTTCTTAAGTCTCTCGATCTCATCCCTCAAACTCTGTCTCTCTGAATCTGTTAATGGAGAAGCTCCTTGGCCTAGAAGATTCTGCATCGAATGGCTATGAACCGGTTTCCGTCTATGTATGTTCTTCAAAAGATTAGGTTGACCTCTTATAAAATCCTCGTTCGCAAACTCCCACTGCTCGGGATCAATTTTCCTGAAACCCTGTCGAAATACGGAAACAAATTCAATTCAAGAAGCAGCAATAAGCAAACAGGAAAGGTTCGCATATGAACAATTTGCTCAATGCTCACATATGTATTAAGTTGTCTGATAAAGCTAGAAAAGTTGTTGTGCTTGAAGAACCTCGGAAGCAAATCCCTCGCGAATTCCAGCGGATTCCACACAACAAAACTTCTATTGCTTGCACTCCAAGACACGATAGAATCCGTCGAACGATCGTCCACCATCTCATATGTCTTCGTAAGGAAAGGAGGGAGTGAACTCGAGCTACTCGGAGCATCATCCATACTGAAAAGCTCCTCTATATGTAAACCTAAACACCCTAAACTCAATTCCCAGCAATCACATATCAACCAACCGCAATAATCCACACCCGAAACTCGAACTCGGCTACGTTAAGAGACTAATCTCCTCTAAATTTCAATGGAAGCAAAAACCCTTTAGTCCTCCAATTGTTTTCGGAACCTGTGTTGCATTGAAATCGAAGCCAAACATCAAAAACTAAAAAAAAAACTATAAAAATGGAAAGAAAATGCACTCTTTGATTCTTTTTACCACCCGGAAACTAGCAATCCTAGAACCATAACTGTAACTGTCTTGATTTTCCCAGAAAAATTCGAAGCAAAAAAAAAAAAAAACAACGGAAATATAAAAACTGATGAAATGATTCAAAAGCAGTAGTTGAGTTATTGTTTTACCTCAGAGAGGCAGAGACTACAATATATATAAGAAAACAATATGAATTTTCATAGAATAGGATGAAGATGATGATGACCCAGAATTCGAAACCGGTAAAATAAATAATTATTTTGGGGGAAATTTGACGCCTTTTTTTAATTTAAAAAAAAATACTCTTTTTTTTCAAAATTATGCTTCGAGAATATTTCGGGGTTTCTTGGAACCTCGTAGAGTAGAAAAAGTTGGAGATTTTCTAGGATTCTATAGTATACTTTTTCGGTGTAGAATATATCGAAAACTTGATACGTTCGTTTATGATTTTTATCCCTCTTGACATGTTAAGCTTAAAATTTAATCTCTTTAATTATGCCTAATTAATTATATATCAGCACTCAAATAAATATTCAACATTTATATATCGAGTTGGTAAAAAAAAATTCATCCTGAACTCAAAATTAATTACATTTTATCTTATTTTTTTTATAAAATTTAACCCGATCCAACCTATATAAAAAAACTCAATAATATCATTAAGTTAAAATCTATTAAGATGGAATTAACATCCTCGCATATAAATAGCATAATCAATAATGATATGATAAATTTGAGCAAAAAATACATTTAAGAATATATAAAAACAATATAAATTTTATAATAAAAATAATAATGACGCGGGCGTTGACTTGAAGAGTAATTTGATTCAATAGATAATGACAAGTAAATATAGTATTCTGTCTCAATGTCTGGTTGATGACATGGGTGCTTAGGTGAGAAAACCTCTAGAAATTTTAAATTTTATTTTATTTTTGGATTAGTCTCTTAACTAATTTTTAATAATTAAACATAATTTATTATTAGTTGCACCTTGCTATTTCTGAAAATATATATTTTAAAATAATATAATTCAAGTGAAAATATATGAATAATTATAACATAAATTTTATTAAATATTACAAAGTAATTGTAATAAAATATAATAACTGCCCTGATGATTAGATTAAACCTTAATTTAAATTTTATTAAAGTGTTTAAAACTTCGAAAACAATATTTCTGATAGTTAATAAAACAAATGCAACGTTGAAGTTATCGTATTCTCGAATTGAGTAGAATTAAATCGCATTTAACATTTAAAGTGAACATTCCACTTGAGATTTTATTAATACCGGACTTGGTATTTACAGTTTCTATATCGAAATCTAATCATCATCGTATACGTCATATGGATACGGTTAGATACAAGATACAATCATGTCAAAACTAAGGTCGGACGTTTATTAAAATATTCATTTTGACTTTATTTTAGAATGTTTTAACTCATAACGTTTCATATTTATGGTAAAAAAACTCATTTAAATTTAGTTAATAAACATTTAATGCTCTAAAATATGAGTTTTTTCCTTTAAAATAAAATGTTAGGAGATCAAAATGTACCAAAAAGAATAAAAGCTAAACTAATTATTCAATCAAACGTTAAGGGCATTTTTATTCTAAAGTGGAATGTCGAGGGTCAAAATGATCCCCAAAAATGTTGGCTCAAAATTCCGTTTGAAACGCAAAATTATTCTCAGGTAACTCATTTTTAAATAAAAATTAAACGTAATTATTGACTCAAATCAACAAGTTATAAAATCAGTACTTTTGCAATGGACAAACTCAAAACATTTTAAAACGCTGCAAATGACATGACTCACGGATGAGAAAGGCCACCAACATCGACGACAGGAGCGGATGCACTAAGCCTCCTAGGGGGTTGAGTGCATCTCTATTATTTATGAAAAAAAATATAAAATTTAGTTTAATATGTTAAGGGAAAATAAAAAAAAATTAAAAAGTTTTGCATACCCATTATTTTTAAGAAAATAATATTAAAATTTTAGAACCATTCTTAAATTTTTGGATCCCTTACTATAAAAAAAAACGTTTCTTGATGGTGATGATATACTCCAATTAGGGTTTATGTTTAGGGGGGGAATAAATGTTTTTGGAAATTGATTGGAGTTATGTGGATAATGAATTTTGAACTTAAATTTTAAGACAAATAGAGCGCCCCCCAAATATTGAGATAGAGCGCATTAATTTTGGGGTCAGGATCTAGGCTATTGAAAATTTAAGGCATGCTCATCCCTAATGGTAACGCATTCAGATAGATAACATAAGCTTTAATAGGAATTAGGAAATATTGTCAACCAAATAGTGGATTCTTTCTCAAGTTTCATCTATTTGTTTCCACTTTAATTTCCAGAACTTTCTCCTAACATTAAAATCAAGATCAAATTAGTAATTTGTATAAATAAATAAAGCAAATGTATGATTATACAATCCATAAATATGTTTGTAACATAAACAAGGTGAATATAAACATTTGTATTTTATATTCATAAACACAATTAATAGGCTGAATTATTAAAAAGGTACCTAAAAGTTTTTAGGGTAAACTACACGTTTAGCATCCAAACTATTATTTTTGTTCTATTTTAGCTCTTAAACTTTCATCTTATCAAAATTATACATAATATTTACTTTTTGTTTCATTTTAGTACCCACAGTTAAAAATTTAATGACATTTTCATGGCTAAATTACATCATTCATCACTCAATTATCTTCTCACTCATATTTTAGTCTTTGAATTTTGTTGTTTTAATTTAATCATTTAATTTTCAAATTACTCATATTTTAATCGCTCTAACTTATTTTATTAATATTTTATATGAGGTGACATCTTTTAATTAATATTTTTTAGTATATGATTAAAAAAAGGAAGGGACGGGCTGGAGAGGCCTATAAGAGTGAGGCTGTAAAGGTGGGGTGAGCAATTTGTGATTTAAGGTTTGGGGATAATTTTGGATTGAGTATTATTTTAATTTTTTTTTAATTATAAATTAATAAAATAATAATAAGATGTCGTGTCATAAAATATTAATAAAATAAATTAGAGTGATTAAAAGAAAAGCAATTTTTAAGTTGAGTAGTTAAATTGATTTTTTTTTAAATTTTAGTATCTAAAATAAATTAGAGTGATTAAAAAAAGGAAGGGACGGACTGGAGAGGCCTATAAGAGTGAGGCTGTAAAGGTGGGGTGAGCAATTTGTGATTTAAGGTTTGGGGATAATTTTGGATTGAGTATTATTTTAATTTTTTTTAATTATAAATTAATAAAATAATAATGTCGTGTCATAAAATATTAATAAAATAAATTAGAGTGATTAAAAGAAAAGCAATTTTTAAGTTGAGTAGTTAAATTGATTTTTTTTTAAATTTTAGTATCTAAAATAAGAGTGAGAAGATAAATAAGTGGTGAATGATGTAATTTATCCACAAAATGACACATCATTTCCATTAAATTTTTAACATCGTGTTACTAAAATAAACATAATATAAATGTTAGGTATATTTTTTTAAAAATAGAAGTTTAGGTCCTAAACATGTAATTAACCCAAAAAATTATCTTCTAGAACAGTACTTATTTCTATCGTATAGGGTAAATGCACGGCTAGTAGCAAAGCCTTTTGAAAGGCTTTTCTTCAAAGAAGCATCTTTGCTTATATGATATATTACACGGACTTGTTTTTCCACGGTGATGTCATCCAATACCTTTTACTTGAGGGTAGACGCTTTCTTTAATGAGAATTTTCAAAAGACACTATCACCTACATACACTTTCGTTCTATGTGATAAAAATAATATTATTATGAAAAATAAATATTTTTTATGTTATTTTAGTACAAAATGAATTTAAAAAATGTATATGATTTTATTAATTTAGCCCAATTGTTATGAGATCGTCCCTAATAGGACGAAGCTATAAAGCAAAGTCAGGAAATTGTAAGCGTAGGGAGTAGGCCTATGTGTATGACAGAGAGAAAAATAATACAATTGCCTCGTGGGTGGCCAGCATATCGTGCATCACGTGACCCCACCAGTTTTAGCATAAATAATTAAATACAAAATGCTACATTTTAAAAATGTCAAATTTTAGTTTTATTCATTCTATTATACTCTAATTTGAAATTTGATCCATATTTTTATGATCTCCTCGGTTAACTCATATAGCTAATAATATAGATCAATTTTTTAATTAATATGATATAAGTATAAGTTAGTATTTATTTAAAGATAATTCTCAACCATTTGGTTTTGAACGTTCATATCTCTAACATTCATAATGCTCGAATATGAACTCTCAAAAAATTACAATTTATTTACCACTAAAGTCGTTTGATTCGTGCAATATACATCAATATTTAAAATAATTAACAATTAATTAATTAAATCAATCAACGCGACATTATTAAAATAAAGATAAAAAATGTATCATATTAAAATATGAAAGAATCAATATCTAATTAAACATACTATATATACCAAGATATAACTTAATACGAACTAAACGACATCAGTGATAAAGGGATTGTTGTTGTTCATTGAGATCTCGAGTTCGAGCACCAAGCATCCCAAGGGTGTTAGCATTTAATGCCAAATAGTAGAGAATTATCTATGAATATATACTACCTTATACAGTTATACTTACCCCGTTATTAATCAAAAAAAGGGGAAAAAACTTAATAACTAATTCAAGTAAATTTAAACTAACTAGAGAATCATACATAATTTATACAAGATAAAAATCTAACATGAGGCCCTAAGAATCATATATATTATTTTTAAATTTGTTCACTATTTTAATTTTTATAATAAATTAATTATAAATTCACTAAAAATCCAATTCAAATAACCACTACTTTT